TTCGCACGATGTTCTTACTAAATTGGTCACGGCAGCATATTCTAGTCCCGCAAGCTCTCGCGCTCCTGGTGTTCCCATACGTCAGCCTGATTGCTCCACATATTGCGGCCGTCCTCTCCATCTCTTCGAGTCATGGGACGCCTTCTGATAGACTACCCGCTTACGTGCTCGTCCGTGACGCTTTGGTGGCGATCATACTATTAGCATGCAGAACGCCACTTGTGTTGGGATTGTGTCTGCGAATGACCCACATCATGAGGAACCGGTTCGTGATAATGTTTGTCGTTGCGGTCCTTGCTTGCCTGTACCATATAATGGTGTATGTTTTCACTACCGGAATCATGTTCAGTCTCGGTAGACGCGATCTTGATATGCTTGGCGTTCCTGATCCGTATCGTTGGATGTCTGTGGGCCTAGCTGTGCTTGCGATCGGATTAACGTATGTTGTCAATTTCGGCTGTGGCCGAGTCTATTGTCGTAATCGTCAACCATGTAAATGAACATCCTACTTTCCACCACGATGTAGTGATTTCATTCATCTCTATTGAACTCTATGTAGTCGTAAGTCGAATTATCAAATTGGTCTGGTTAGGTGTATAGAAGGGTATCAAGTCTGAGACACTCACATGCTAGACTGGGTGCCTTTCTTTTTCACCTCTTTTCTGCCTTGTCATCTGCTGAGGTAGTGTTACAGTACCATTGAGTAGCAAGTGCCGCTGCACCTTGTCGGCTTCGTATAATAGAGGTTTCGCTTGGTCGCTCGAGGATTTTCACTCAAGCTCAGGCTCTTATCTCATTAGTTAGTTTTTCGAAGGTTCAGTGAAGGTTGAGTTAACAACCTCTGGGGGCATACTTCCTGCGAGTTGTCAGATGAGTCGTCACATTGAGTATTACACTTCCGAATTTTGCAAGTCCTGATCTCAGGATTTGGATCAGATCAATCGCCTTCCATTTCGACAGCACATGGATCAAGGAACTACACCCCTCCACATATTTTTAGCATACATGGTGTGCAGCTCATAATTCATCAACGAAGTCGAGTTTCACCCTGATATTTCAATATGATAGCTTTAGTAAGACTATCACTAACCTGGCAAGGTTTCAGACTCCCATTCTACTGCTACTCTGATTCACGCACTCGACGCACTTGGAGACCTCCACATATTCTTAGCATATTATTGAAGCACCCTTATTATTAAACCCGAAGATCTCCTTAGGAGATCTTCGAATTTCTCAGGGTAGGAGATTCTCCTACCCTAAGAAATTCGGATGTTAGATCTCGTCCCGAATAGCTGTTAGCCGCTGGCTTCTCTCAGCTGCTCTAGTCCAATGGTTAGACCATCCATTGTGATGCGGACTAATCGCCGCTATATTCACCTTTCCTCAACTTCGATGCATGCAGTAAAGTCCTTTCTGAACTACACCATACTCGATGTTCACCCGCAGTTTGCCTCTACCGCGACAACTCTCCGAGATGTCACATCTCTGAGAGTTGTCACATCTCAGATGTGCTTCGTCGGGCCTCATTTGGATGCTCACAATGATGGCGCAGGTGCAGTGAGTTTTCGTGGCGGGACGTTCCCGATAACACCGTAAAATCATCATCGACTTTCATGTCTAACTTCAGTGCTACACCATCTGACCAGCGGGAAGCGACTGTCCGAACGCTCCGGCGTATCTCAGACTTGTTTGACACAGTCTTCAATCTTCGCCAGCGGCGACTTTGTGTGGCGCTACTAAAAACTCGGGTGCGTTCGAGGTTTCTTGCTGCCGCTGTCGTCTGATACTGGATGACCTTCTATCATAGATCGTCAATCCTGAAACGCGCACTCATGTTACCACCGAGACAAGGAGAGAGTGCAGCACAGCTTGGGTTAGTGACAACGAATCGTTATTAGCGATGCATTGCTCGCGAGAAACGCACGCATGTTGATAGTTACCTGCTCCTCTATTGATTCCCCTCCGTGAAACCTTTCTTGCGTTACGCTGCACCATGTTCTATCCACGATAACGAAATCAAGTCATCTCGTTTGAGATGTCGGATAATATCTTTGCAAAGAGAAAACGGATCCAATCATTATGGGGACCTTTGTGATGAATCATTCATTATGAATGCAACACTGAAGTTCAGTGACTGAACCTCACGTGCTTCGTGCATTTGCTGGCTGAGATGTGAAATGTACTTCATTGGACAACAATGGTACCAGGAGCGAGGATCGAACTCGCGACCTTCTGCGTGTAAGGCAGACGTCATAACCGCTAGACTATCCCGGCGATGACATCTATTTATGGTTGTTACGCTTCGACCTGATATAACATTCTGAATCGTGTCCGTGTTTACAACCAGACATTAACACTAGCTGTTTTCACATTCAGAATATTAAACAGATAGACATGTACTGTCATCTTCCTAGGATTACATCCTCTTGACTTACACACTTATTGTGAACACTCTTATGGTCATATTTGTTCGCGTCGAACCACTAGTGCTCAGGTTGTTGTGAATACCGAGGAGCTCTGCTCCGAGTTCACAAAGCGCCAACTTCAGAGTCGCTACGTTCTGGACATTCTCGGTGATCAAAGGATCATCAGACTAACATTCAGTGGATGTCAGCCGTGAATAACCCTAACGGTTCGCGCGAGGGGTTGCTCTCGTCCTTTTAGCTTACCACAAGCTCCCCCGTCTACTTCCCTATGTTACCATCATGAAGTGGAGGAATGTAATACGCACTGAGGGAATGATTCTCTGGGAGCGGTAGCATTGCTAGAAGGATAGAAGCCTTGATAGAATTCCTCCCGTGCCGCGGTATCATTATTGTTCGTGATAGAGCGAGCTAGGGCTTGGATTCTTGGTGAGCTGAGTACCAGTATCTTCTCAAATACTACCACTCGGACGTGTGGAATTCGCCTCGTTTTCGGTATCGTTGGTCGTTTGATTCACTGTATACAGCGTGTTTTATGGGGGGAATTTGGAGGGAAAAGAACAGATTCTCTGTAGTGTGCACTTCTCATGGCTATCGTATGGGGGTCGTCACGGCTGTTGAAATGGAACTGTCTGACGTACTTCCTCTGCAAGATGATGGTACAAGGCAACTAATGGGATGCTCCGACTCGTCCCCATACCTCCGCGGTGTGCCTCTAAGCACGGTCGCTAAGAAGCGACATCTCTTCAGAGACTCTCAGGGGAATGAAGACACCTACACCCTATCACGGTCTGTGGACCATCTCGATGCTTTCGTCAGCCATTCGTGGTCGGCCAATCCACCTTTGAAGCACATGGGTCTTGTCGCCTCTCAGTATTATTTTCTAGGATATATTGTGGCGAATGCCGTGGTTATATGCGTCGGTGCCGGTCTTAGCTTTGCTGTGACCGACCGAATCGCATTCCTATTTGCTTTTGTGGCTTCTGTCATCAGTTTCCTCCTGGCGTTATTCTTCGGTTGTCGAATACCTGGCTATAAGCATGCGATGATATTCCTCGACAAATGTTGTATATCCCAGACCGATCAAGTAGCGAAGCTTCGCGGAATACGAGGTCTAAGTTCGTTCCTCGGCAAGTCCAACGAACTTCTCATTCTCTGGTCGCGCGACTACTTTAAGCGTCTCTGGTGTGTCTTCGAAGTTGCTAGCTTCTTGCAGCAACACGGTCTCGAGCGGAAGATCCATCTGGTGTCTATAAGGCAAACCAAGTTTGCTTTCATAATATTTGGTGCAGAGGTATTCACCATCATCATTGTCTCCGTCTTGGGTATTGTCAGTGCTGATATGGAAATGAAGACCCCCTACTACGCCTGTATGTTAGGGGCTTGCTTCATGATGGCGGCTTTTTTGGGCGTATTCATCGTCTATGAATACTTACCACATAGACTAACTCTACACCGACAAGCCAGTGAGTTTACCGTTGCGGACGGCGAATGTCTGCTTGAGGAGGACAGGCTACTTATCCGAGATTTGATCAAAAAGTGGTATGGATCCCTCGAAGCGTTCGAGGAGTATGTTCGTGGTCACAAGGAGTATATAACCGGTAGGAGCCGTCCCTGGACTGTCAGTGCTCTCTCACCTTGCCATTATATCGCTCCCCACTGTGCTGGCATGTGTCGGGCGAGCGGTCACAATTTGGTGCTCTCAACCGTTCTCAGACACTCTGTTATGGTGGAGGACTCTATCGTGTTTCATCCCATCTCTGACTCTTCTGCTCTGCCGGATGCCTTTATTGGTCTTTGCGGCTTATGCTTGCTTCGAACAGAAGAGGAAACCCCGATGGATCGAAGCTGTCTCGATGGTCTCTCTCGTTCTCGTCTATGAGATTCTCGTACTCCTAACGGGTGGTACTATGCTATTCGACAAGACATTGATGGGCATAGTCTCCGAGTCTAATGCCTCTCTCTTTACGATCGTTATACCCCTCTTGGCATTGCTCAATACTTTCCTGCTTTACCGGAGAAACTTATCAATTGCACTCAAGTATCGTGCCAAGGCTTGTACATGAGTATCATCATCACCGAAACCGCTGACTATAACTACGCCCTCTTATTATTTGTTCCTCCTTGACAATGTATACCATCATCATGTCCGTCCTCCCTGGGGACTGCTCGGGATCACTCATATCTGTTCAGACCTCATCATCGGTCCCTACTCTTAAATCCTATACTTGTTATGATTTGTGTATAGCTCAAGCCAACGATCTAGGCGATGATCAATGCTTGACACCTCCACAATGCTGAGCAAAGTGGATCACGTTATCGTCTGAAACCTTCAAGTTGTATTATGTTTAGATCGTTTCTACTGTCCCATCCCTCGTGCTACAGCTAATCCTGCTAAATATCTAGGCGAGCTCATATGTGTTGCGTTTTTATGAGGAGTACTTTCGTATTGCACACTAATGATAGTTTTGGTTTCTCAACAGTGCCCGTCAGTACTGAGCAAAGAACACATGAGTATTACAAAGTTCATCCAATGGTATGTGGTAGACGATATGACCAATTCGGAGCCTCGTAAAAAATGTATATTTTTTTCACACAATCTCGTGCCCTACTTATTGGCGAGCGAGTCTGACGATGCATATAGGTTAAAGTATGCGAATCTAAGCCGTTGTCCCTATAATCTGTTTTAAAATATATATTTATATATGTCAATTTGATACTATTGTAAATTTATATATATTAATACCTGTGTCGTCGTCGTTGTACTTACACACACACTTGTTGGCGATCGTACGTTCGCCTGTCATCGTTTTTCTTAAGCCAAAACTAGATCACACCTCCGAGTAAACTGCTCTCTCGTATATGCGGTTTGGACAGTCCGCGTGAAGTTTTGAAAACGATTTTTATCGAGCCTTTCCTTTTCGATTTTGTATGTGCGTTCTGTACTGTGATGGCATTGAGATTACCTCCGTTCACCTTATTCGAAGGTTGGTAATCCCCATGGACTGAGCTCAACATGTTTAGCAATGTACGAAACAATGTTACAATCACAAGAGGAGTTCCCAGTGAGTAGATCTGCAAGTATCGATCGTGAATCATTGAGACGTTTTAGCCCGTGAAAAAACGTTGGAATGTCCTGCATGTCCAGTTCAACTTGCTGCGGTACGCCGATGGAGTAGCAAAGAACATACGTACGAGGCGCCAACAAACTATGGACGAAAATATACTACGAGGAAGCACACAAAGCGAACGGCAGAGTATATGGAAACCGCAGATATCAATATCGACTACTGTACGTTTCCAGTCGGACTCTCACGGTGCCTGAACTCGACAGCTACACTCTATCGGATTCACGGTGGACTTACCTCGGCCTAGTTGATTGTCGGCCAGCCTTTTCACAGTCACTTCCCTATTGCCGTAGTCAACGCCAGAGTTAACATCCACGACTCTCACTTTGGCTGGGTCTGGCGCTCGAGCTGCATACCATTCTACCAGGTCGGACATGGTACTGAGGAAGAGTGATGATAATAATAATGATAGTGATGATAGTAATGATAGTGATGAGAGTGATGATAGTGATGATAGTAATGATAGTGATGATGATGGTAATGATAGTAATGATAGTAATGATAGTAATGATAGTGATGATGATGGTAATGATAGTGATGATAGTAATGATAGTGATGATGATTATGACGCTCACCTGCCGGGTGTCAGCAGGACAACCTTCCGCCTACCGTCCAGGTCTGTAATGTCAACTTCTATAAGACGAGCATTCAGATTGCTCGCTTCATCATCAATCACGCGAGTCTACAAAGATACTATCCTTGCCCCCACGATAAGATTCAGAATAGGTCACTTACCGCCTCATCCCCGCGTCGTGTCCAACTAGTAAGATCGTCCCTACCACATAAACATCGATACCACACCTCAGCCAATTCCAACCTACTGTTCGTAAGCCGAGCCTTCCCAAGACCGTCTCGAAGACCCTCCTCCACCATAACTAAGCATAAAGAAACATCGCTATAAACTATGGCCAACCACATGTGTTGGTGACAACAGGGAAATTCTTATTGGTTTCTGCGCACTTCTAATCCGAACATCGCGTAAATTTCTCTAGTTATTGAGGAAACTCCTGAGCTCAGCTGAGAAAAGCTAGCATATATTCCCGCACTGAACTCACTAGTCTCTCTCAGCTCTCCCTCCACCTGGGCCGAAGGCTATCCCTCTTTTCCTACCGCTGACAGCAGCAGCAGCAGCAGTAGGCGCCGCTGCCGACTCTAAAATGAAGAATTTTGAAGATCTATATCACCAAAGTGGATACCTTCACGTGGCCTCAAGTAACTCTCAGTCGCTCTCTGGCTTTCCTCTCTAGATCTCAACGTTAATGCCCGTCCAAATTCGCTGAGCAGAAAAAATGCAGGCGCCGGGGATCGAACCCGCGTACTCCTTGCCGGGCGCACCAGCCGCTGCCGCCCCCTTAGTTTGATAATCGCGATGATACCCTCTACCGTATGAGTCATATTCCCACTGCCTTTCCTCTCCCCCTGCAGAGCCATCCGTGCCCACTCCTGAGCCGAGAGTAACATCAAGACGATTCACCAATCAGCAGCTCACCTGCCCATCTACTGTCACCAGTCACCGCAGTTTTAGCGTCTGCTGTAGCCCTTCGTGAATTGCCTCGTCGGGCCGGTCGATCCTCCTTTATTGGTGGTAAGTTAGCAAAGAAGGATCCGCCAGGCTTTGGCACTGAGATCGTACGAGATCAATTGAGGCGAGTGATAGTTTTTCCGCAGTGTTGGAATTGGTTTTCTCAAAGTTTACGCCCGACAAGATTACAACAGCCAACAATACTTTTTTGATTTCAGAAATTCTTAAATTTAAAATTTTAATTCTTTAAAATTCACTCCGTTTTTTCACCAACACATGTAGTTGATAAATGCTCTATCAAAACGTACTTGCAGCCTTCTTATCATCCTTCGTTGACTTTCCTCGTTCACTCCGTCCCTCAGGTGAGCGTCTAAGACTAACTGCTAGCCTATGCATAGCGATAACAATGCCTACGTGCGATGCCTCTCTGTCGACTCCCGCGGCTTGGTTCTTCTTGACTCGTGAGTTCTGGATCTAAGCACAATAATACTGATTAAAACATCCAGCGGAGCGATGCTCGGAAATTTTCTCATTAATTTTAGGAGCGTGTAGACGAATTCTGGGCGAAAAAATCCAATTTTTTTCACTTTCCGCGGCTGATCCCACAACTTTCTTCACTAGAATTCTACACACGATAAAAAATTTCCCAGAATTTCCATATTGTCACCAACACATGTAGTTTCTTTTCCCATACTGCTCCAGTGTTAAAATGTATATTCGCTTTCCTCATTTGAGTTCAGAAATTTCCTCACTTATTACAGAATTTTACATACAAATTTTGGTACAAAAAAAACCTAAATTTTCTCGTTGTTCCCAACACATGTAGTTGACCATGTGCATTTTTTCCAACACTGCAGAGCGTCAATATCAACCCACCTCTACCTTCGTGATCTCGACCTAGACCTCGTGCGCTTTCGTTTTTCCCTACTCCTAGACCTGCTCACTCCACACATGTTCCAAGTTAGCAGTCTCCGACCCACCCCGCATCCGCCTTGTTCTTTCCCGTCGCCTCTTCCTCCTCCACTTCTTACGCGGCTCTCACTACTATGCCGATGATGATGATTATGATGTTGTGAAGTTGGTTTT